ACACCGAGGGGCAGGCCCTGAAGCGAAGGACGGGAACGAGCGGAATCAATGTGTTCAATTTTCTAGGCTCGAACTACAGTGATCTGAGACCTTCTTCCCTTAGTCTGTTGGCTTTTCCCGTTGGTCAAGCAGGCTTCGCTGATCACTCCGGGGCCCACCCCCAATAGACCACTCGCGATCTACACTTTCGGAGGGAGCTCATGAGCGTTTGCGGGTCCTGGAGTGCCTGACGAGTTTCTGCCTCATACAGCTCGGGCCGAAGAGAAGAAATATCGTTTTTAGAAAAAGGGCGCCGCGTCTGTACGGGCGGGCGGAATGGATGAGAAAAATGTGCCAACATCTCCCTACTAACTAGATTTATCAATTCTGGCGCAAGTGGCTAATCTCTTTCTCTCTCTCTTTGCTCCCCGTAAAAGGAAGCCGCTAGGCATCAAGCCCTATTATCTTACACCTAGGGAGGGTGGTTTAGAACCCACGGGTTTTTAAGATTTTCGATACCCATGTTTCCCAAAAAGACATCAAGGTGACAGGATTCAAACCTATGGCCCTCTGTACCCAAAACAGATGCGCTGACCAGACTGCGATTCGAGGCGGATCCCTTTTTTCTTTGCCGGGAATTTGAGATGAATCACTCCATAACCAAAAGTGCTAAGGTCCTCTCATTTACTATTTGCGGCCGTTTCATTCCTTTTCGTTGTTATGATGTTCCATAATTCATTGATGAGGGCAATAGCGCCTCCCTTTGTTGGCTCTTCAAGACAAAAACACTCATAGGAATGGTGCTAATTCCCATGTTCCTTCTCTTCGGCCCAAGACAAAAACAACTACAACAATCCATAATGGTTTCTTCCAAGTCAACTCAGAAGTTGTTACTCACTCATCAAACCAAGAAAGCGTGTATGTCTGGCGATGGTTGGTCCAAGGACCCGCTTTGACGAAAGCGGTAGCCGAACCACCCCCTTTTTGGTTAAAGCGGACTCATCAAAGGAATCCCCAGCAAGAGGCTCTCCTGGGCGATGAAAAGTTTGATAAACAATAGCACGAACTCTCGTTCTTTTACATGTTAGCTCGTCTCTGTCTTCGTCTTTGTGTCTGCCGATTCAATTGATGCTGCTCGTCCGTCAGGATGGCTCAACCACCAAACTCGGTAAAGGGTATTCGAAGCTTCTTACTATTTGTTTGTGCGTTTATTGGAGGAAGTATCTAGAAGTCCCTAAGGTTTCTAAAGAAACAAGCGAGAAACTTGACTTTGAGAAATACCTTATTATATATAGTTAGTAAATCGTCAAAACGTTATCGTATCTTCGGGCTAGATTTCGTTAAGATCGCGAGATGGGCTTTTTATCGCGTTTTAGGACCTTCCGAGCTGTTTTACGATAAATCCGTTTTGCGACTTTGTACGAGATCGTTTCCTGATCCGATGCTGTTTTTAATCAATTCCCAAAGTTAATCGTACAGTTTAGTTACGTTCGTTTTTCGGTTAATCGTTGCTGTTTTTACGATTCACTCGACGTTTTTATTAAAAACGCGTTTTTACGATTTTTATGCAAAATCTCGAATAAATCGTATAGTTTAGGCAATGTTCGCTGTTTCGTTTAAACGTTGTCGTTTTATACGATTTCCTCGAGTTCTTTTCGAGAAAACAAAGTTTTACGGTTTTTATCGTAAAATTCGAACGGTAACATGGATCGAGATGAAACAGGAGACATTTCGACCGTGGTTCGGGACATGATCGTGTCAAAGGACATAAGCCTTGAATCGTGGACTTGGGAGATCGAGGCTCGGGATGGTCGGCTCGACGTACGGCGAGCTACCCGGGGGACTTCTAGCTCGCCGTTCGGCGAGCTAGTCGTGCTGGGACTAGCTCGCGTTTTACGGCGGTTTCGGTTTTTTTGCGGTTTTGTGCTTAACTCGGACGATCGCGTAATCGACGTTTATTTCGTTCTTCCGAGATAACGATCTTCCGAGTTTTCCGCGGATTTCCTTTGTTTATAAATCTCTTTTGGGTTTATAAAACGATTTCTCGAGCCTTATAAAACGATTTCTCGAGTTTTATAAAACGATTTCTCTAGTTTTATAAAACGATTTCTTGAGTTTTATAGAACGACTTCTCGAGTTTTATAAAACGATTTCTTGGGTTTTATAGAACGACTTCTCGAGTTTTATAAAACGTATATTTTTTTATCTTTTTGCGGGAAGTTTTGGCTATTGATTCTGTCATACCGATTTTGAACCCAACACATATATGATTCACAAAACCCTTGTTAACTAAATGAAATATTTTAATAGTTTCATCCTTCTGTTTGTTTTTTGTTCAAACATTGTTCGGATTATGTTTATCGTTGTTAATTCCAGTTTTTACTCTTTTGATTGCTGATATTTTCTCTGACTTAATTTTTTTATGTTTAAATTTAGTTTTTCCATTACCTTCTTGTTTGCATGTCTTCTCCTTCTTACATGTATATCTCAGAAGTGGTCATAAACATTTTGACTGATTAGATCTTTGTTGTCACTACGGTCCAATCATCTCCCTTGCGTCTCTAAAAATCAGTAAATATGAGATATACCCACTATGAAATCGACTCTTTAGGGCTTTGACACTTTAGGGATAGAGAGTATTCCCGATCAATGGTGACATATGGTACCACTTTAATTTAGAAAATATTACATTCAGTAACAGTTTCAAGTTTTTATTATCATAATAAGACAGTTACTGTTAATAGAATAGTTTTGTTTAACCAAATCCACTTCATTGTTACAAACAAATTAAACTAGCCTATGCGCTATTAATTTTCAACCATTTTTCCTAGCAAACCAAAACAAGTGGATCCCATGCATCATCTTCTTTGTTTCTTCTTCTTGAGTTCCTTATTTGTTTTTGTAAAATGAATGTTGTGTTTTCTATAAAAACATTTAAAAATATATGTTTATAATCAGTATCTTCATTATTCAATCTATCTTTTGAGATATGTCAAACTATATTGTTGATAGAATAAATCGTTCAACAAATTAGAAACCAAAAAATTACTTTTGTTCAAAATTTTAAGATTAAAACCATAAATTAGGAGTAAAAGTTATCACATCTGGGTAAAAATACATAAAAAACAAGTTGAGAATTTAAAGAATCCTGGAAAATAGGCAAGATAGGCAGAGATTAGGGTTTATGGTCGACAATGGCGAAGGAAGAAGATGAAGTTATTTTCGTAATTTTGCAATATTAATGAAAAACAAAATGTCATGTGTACATTACATTCAAACAGTACATGTGTACACCTAATTTTGTATTATACCTCAATGTAATTGTGTACACATTTATGGTTTTTTTTTAAGGTTTTCTATCTAGATTACTAAGCCTCTGCGACTTCATAAACTCAAGCTAATATTAATACCATGTACATGTGAATTTTATTTCCTTCTTCCCATGTATACACATGTTCGGGGCATCCTTGATATCTGACTGAACTCAAATATCATCCTGCCCTAGGAGCATCAACATCATCACCATTATCATTGTCATCTTCATCTTCACTGTGCATGTGTACGATAAAGTATAATAGCATACATGTGTACGATAAATATGGATGTGTACATGTGTACGGTAAATATGATAATATATATATATATATGTAAAACAACCAAAAATTAATCAATCTAACACCTACCTTGAAGCTAATATGAAAACACACACACACTAATCAGAAGCTCTTAAAACAGGTGTGAACGATGATATTTGGAGTTCAGTTAGATATAGAGGATGTCATGACCCTGTGTGTACATGGGAAGGAAGGAAAAAATATTCACATGTACATGCTGTTAATATTATCTGGAGTTCATGAAGTTGTACGTAAAGGTTAAGTTATTTAGATAGAACACCTACAAAAAAAAAATTGTGTACACAATCACATTGATGTATAATACAAAATTCGGTGTACATATGTACAGTTTGAATGTAATGTACACACGACGTTTATTTTTTCATTAATGACGTAAAATTATGAAAATAACCTCATTTCTTAGCCATTGTCGACTAGAAACCCTAATTCATGTCTATCACACCTATTTTCCATGATTCTTTGCAATCTTAATATGTTTTTCTATGTATTTTTACCTAGATGTGATAGCTTTCAATCCTAATTCATGGTTTTAATCGTAAGAGTTTGAACAAAAGTGACGATTTATCAACTTATTCATTTTTTTCTCTTTTACCATTAAAATCATTGTTTCCAGATTTTCTCTTGAGATTTTTTTTGCCACTATAATTATTTCTCAGTAAAAGAGAGAGAAGAAAAATGAGATTGAAAATTGTGGGACCCATTTAGGTGCAATAGTTAGCTTGTAGTTGGAAAACTACCTTAGGAGCAATAATTGACTTATCTATTATATAAAACAAAGATTCTCTCCTTCTCAAGGGTGACACGTCGGATCCACGTCATTAAGTCCACGTGGACACCCGAATTGGGCCTCTAATGAATCTGTTTCATTACCTTTATTGTTGGTCTTTAGTTCATTATTCCTGGCCCGTTTACGTTTTACTGGTGACCTAAAAGTGTTGTCTTCTCCACGACTCTTGGTTTCTTTGGTCGCCTCAAATCAGAAACGGCCGGTGTCTTAAACAGAGATGATCGATTGTGTTTACTCATCACTAATGAGTAATGAATAAGGCCTATATCTTCTTTCCTAATGCTTATTGTTTTCAATCTTCAAAGATGATCGATGATGAGCTGAAGATCGTGAGGAAAGCTGGTGTTGTGCAGCTTTAAAAAGAGAACCCATACTCCATCAACATTCAAGTTGCTGAGGTTTGTATCAAGTTTGTTACTTTATTGATTCAAATCTTGATGTCATTCAATGGATGTCGCTTCCGGTTTCGATAATGCAGTAATGTCTAGATGGCTCATCCTTCGGTACATGCATCATTATCATATTAATTTTAGTTCTGGTCTGTACTTATCAATAATCCTTGGCTAGCTCCGATTTTAATCTATCTTTACTACGTGAAGATGTTAATGAAACGAGCTCGACAACTGTTAGAGATCTCAAGCTAGCCATAGAGACTGCTTTCAGCCACGTCCCGAAGAAGTGACCTTCCAAGATCTCATGGTACTTTAGTTACATGTTTCTCTTTTATTATGGTTAGTGTAAATTTCAAACAAGCGTATTCTATGGTGAAGGTCACACATGTGGGACATTTCTGCTTGTATTATGGGGGTCAGAAGCTAATCACTGATACGAAGTGCATCGGAAGTTATGGCATGAAGGACGGTGATGAGGTTTTATATCTGATTATTCCATCTTATTTTCATGATACATGTTATAGGTTTAGGCAGGTCACAGGTGTAAAGATTCAGTACATAACAAGACGTTGTTACATATATGTTTCAGGTAAGATTCAAGAACCATATGTCCGGCAATGCCATATTGAACAAGGGGTGCTCTAGAAAATCCAAAGAAAAGAAGTTGTAAGTGTAATTCTTTTCGGAAGATAATTCCTTAAATCAGAATATCTAAAGGCTGATTCTAGGTGTAGGGGAGTAAAGAAAAAAGTCTAATCTTATATATATATATATATATATATATATATATATATATATATATATATATATATATAGATCTGGAGCTGGAAGGTAGATTGATCAATGATCATATACTATTTGAATCATCATGATGAGATTGCAAATGTAACATTATCTTGAGTAGACTTCTCTAAGTATAGGTTTGTGGTGGATGTGTTGCAGGTTGTAAATAGAGAAGTTCATATGTTTCCTTCTACACTACGAGAAACGAGACCAGGTTCGACCAGTCTCTGGCTCTGAGTTAATCTTGGCACCTTCTAAGTGCTTCTCAATGGAACAGTAATATCATTGGTATGTATGAGTGACGGTTTTTGATTAATGGTAATGTTACATTCTCTATTAAAAAGGAATCACTTATCCCATATGCACATATTCTGCTATTTTTTGTTGGGTTCTTTTTTGGTTATGTTATTATGGCTTTAATCTATACTCGCTTATGTGCAGACCGATTTCTAAAGATGTGGAATTCGTTTTATCTTCATCCTGAGCATGACTGTAAGTTGTATGGTGCCTTAATGTTAGGAGAATTCAGAAAAAAACTCTTGATTAGTTTTTGCTAATGTGGACTCAAACTTTTTACCCTTGCAAACATAACACCATGTATTTTGTCTAGGAGCACACTGCTCTCCGAAACTTCACTTGGGCGTTGTCAGGGCAGCCATAATAAGCATTGATTTAAGTGTCTCACCCTTCCACCACATCGTTATAAACTCAACTTTGATGTCTTGTAATTCACAAAATGAGTCTCATTTGGGTCTCCAAACGTTTTTAACAAGTGCATGAGGGTCTATGATGTCATGTTAGTACCTAGGACAGCAGTTTGTTTAGGGTTTTTGGGTTCTTTTAACCATTGCGAGGCTTGAGATTGAGTTTATTTTAATTAGATAAGAGTTTTTAAAGTGAAACTGGAGAATACAGTTTATGCATTGCATATTACAGAAGCACATTATGGTTTTGACTCAGAATCATTCTTTCACGAAGTCATCAATGTTTCTGCAAAACATTAGGGTCTTGAGTGCATTTTTATGCGACAAGTGACCCATTTTGTATTTCTCTTTGGCTGAATTTTGGTTGCTTAACTCTAAGTACAAGTGTTATGTTGCCAGGGAATATCATGCCTTAATGGAGTAAGGGTAGCTATGGAAAGGCAAGCTGAAGCTAAAGTAAAAATAGAGAACAAAGCCTGCTTATTTTGTTTCTCATAATCTGTTTAACTAATTTTAATAGAGAATACCAAGCCGGCAAGCCCATATCAACATCGGTGAATCTATTTTTGTTTCAGAGGGTCAATAACATCATGGGTTCTTTTCACTTTCTCTTAAAGGTAACACACTCATGCTTCTTTTGTTCCTGTTTTCATCTTTTTTTTTGCTTGATACGATGAACTTAGATATGAACAGGTTCTCTTCGCAGGAAAAGAGGGGAATATTGTGAATAGGTTTTAAGGGATCACCAAAAAATTGGTGTTGGAAACTGCTCGCGGATGTCGCTGTATAAGATCTTTGGATCATTTGGTCGTTTTATGATTGGAGCTGTTTTTTCATATCAAGTTTTTAATATGCTATTAGAAGTTAGATTATTATTGTTTTTTTTCTGTTTTTAGTTTGATACATAGATTTTTATAGACATATTTTCTATGAAAAAATTATAATTAATCTTGACAACTATTATTTCTTATCTTTGAAACAATGTTTTAAGACACCATTTGTATAAATGTGAGAAATTAAATTTGTCTAGCTCAAAAAATGGATCTTCTATAATGTTCTTGTGCAAAGATAACTCTAACAGTGTCCCATAAACAAATTCTTTTGACTTCTAATCCTTAATATTGATTACTTAGTTTATGTATCCTCCTAACGTAGATTCTAAACCTGCAAAATGTTATTCCATATAGTCTTTTGTTGCTTTTTCCATGTCTTCTCTCTTTTGGTACATTTATATTACAGAAAACATCATTTAAATTAAAAATATATATCTTTAAAACATTAATTAAAATGGAACAGAAAGAGTAATAGTGTGATTAAAACCCCTAAAGTCTGGATGTCCTCATTCATGGGGGTTTTTTTTAGAATTTTTTTTGTCCTGATCTTTGACTTATATTTTGGTTGTTTTATAATTTTTATGAGTTCGTCTCTGGTATGGATTTGATGATAGTAGTAGAATGAAAAAGCAATTATACTGAAACAAGATGAATTAAATGAATTTCGTATCACAAATATTTTAGCTTGAATTTGTGTCTACTATACTAAATAGTTTATGTTATTATATAAATTAAAACAAGAAGTAATTGTAACAAATGGATGATTTCTTGCATATCCTTCAGACGAAGTAGCCTCAAACCGGTCTATCCTTCACTGAAGTAGTCCTCTTTATTATGTTTCATATAATTCCTAGAAATATTTTCATGGTTATCATTCATCTGGTTTTGCTTTGAATAGCTATCAGTTTCAAATAATTGGCACCTCACATTTTATCCAGTCTTTACAATAATTTTTTACTATGTATGTTTCTCTTGGATTTCATGATCACTTAGTGATATGCTAATTTGGGTAAGAGTACTCGACTTGGTCAAGAAACCATACAGAATATTAAGGCCCCAAACATACCATTCACATTTCGATTTTTCATATGTCACTCTATCAAAGTTTTAACATCAAAGCTCACATCACATGTATACCTATTATTGGTGGCTTGAAGTCTGACTGAAACAGCCGAAGAACTTGGAGTTTACGATTCCGGCAATTAATATCAAAATAATTGTTTTCCAATACACGAACCAATACACCATTTTAAAACTATAAAACCAGTCATATATACATATAAATCACATCCGACGTACTAATACACTGACAAAATTATATAGCAACAACTACACAAGTGATTATAACAGGAAAATAGAATCCTGCCCGTAGGGCGGGCCGGCCCTAGTATTGTAATAAAGAAAACTTAAAACTGCCCTAGGATGAAAATAACTCCTTAATTTAATTTATACTTTCTTTACCTTCATATTCAGTTGCATTGTTATTTTACTTAAATATTATTTTTTACCGTAAACTAAATATTAATAAATAGATTTCACATTTGTGTGGTGGTTTTTCTTTTCATAAATACGTATAATAACTGATTATTCATGCGTTACACTCAGGTATGGCCCTGAATAATTGTGAGCCGGAAGCAAAAAAATTTTTTTGACTATTTACATATAAAAAAAAAAATGGAAGACAACTACCCTTGAACCCAGCACCACAAACACATTAATACTAACCATTAAACCAACTACTCTACTGAAGTTTTTGTTATAAAAAAAAAGCCAAAATATTTGATATTTAAGTAGGGCCGGAAGCACATACTTCCTTATCTTGTACCCTAGGCCGCTATTGGTTACATTTTAACTGTTTATTCTAATAATGTTTTTTGGTTTCAGTTTAAGTTATGTTTTAAAAGTCTTATGCAAATTGTTAATGTAATTTTATGTCTATGACTATTTGTATTTTGTAGTATTATTTTTTTTTGTTTAATGAGCTATAGTTATTGTTTTTTATACAAAGGAGGTATATTGAATAAATGTTAATATAATCATCCTTGAAAAACTTATAAGTCTATTATTTTGAAACAAAGACAGTATAGAAGCTTCAAACTATGGAGGCTTGAAACAAAATCGAAATTAAAAAGGCTTAAAACAATATCGAAAATGGGGATCTCTATTTTGGTTTATAAAAATTTCATCTAATTTGATGCTAAAGAAGAAATATTAATTTTAGTACTGATGTATAAATATTGTTTTTATCATTTTATTCATTTAAATGATTGATCTTTGTTATTTACATGTGTTATTGTTTTTTTTTTTTGCAGCAAACAGTAATTCTATTATTCAAACTTGAGGTGGTCTGGGTAACTAGACCGGAGTAGAACAACCAACAAACAAAAGCTCTCTATGAAAAGATCTCGCAATCTTAGCTCAAGAATCAGAAACCATGTTCTGAGTTCTAGGTACATGGAAAATCTTGAACTCTTGGAAGCATATCCGCAGCATTGTGGGCTTTTCTACCTCCATTGAGAAACTTGGCCAATCATGGGGATTACTAATCATCGCAATCAATTCCTTGCAATCAGTTCCAAAGCTCTGACATGGTGAATGTTGAAGTATATTCTCCATTGCCCACAGCGGTGCTTCTAAGTCTGAGTGCAAAGCAGACTCCACTCTACTAAAGTTGCTCAATCCCATTAACTAACTATTTCAGACACTATCATTCCCAACCCAACCACATCCACTGAACTGAGCAGTAGAGGTCCATGAACCATCCACCATACATACGTTCCCCAGGCTTATGGCCAGGCTTTCATAGTCTATGTTTCCTTGAGATGGTGATATAATGTGCTCATTGGCTTGGAACCATGCTTGGCACTCACTTTCTGCATATCAGGCTAGCTCCAATGGATCCCTATCAATTCCCCTAAACAGCTTATCATTCCGAGCTTTCCAGATATACCAAATTAGCCAAGGATAGGGTCACTGTCCGGTTCCATTATGTCATTCTTCCTCCAGAAAAGATAGTCCATATTCGCATATGTGAACTGTAGTGGAAACATAGTTGGGCTGGTAGGCGTTGATGATAAGGCCCAAGCTTGCACCGCCGGTGGACACTGAAAGATTGCATGAGTAACTGATTCTTCTGGTTCCCCGCATCATGGACAATGGTTATCACATCTCATATGTTTATGGTTTAAAGTACTTGTAACAGCCACATGACATGTTATTATTTGCCACATAAGATGGCATATCTTTTGAGGTTCATTAACCTTCCATGCGTGTGCTTGAAGTTTTGTGATGCTAGGGTTCACAAACTTCAACCTCCTCCTCCTTCGTTAATATATTCCGGGCAACCCAATATCCAGATTTAACTGTGTAATGTCCATTCCTTGTATAGCTCCAGCAATACGTGTCCCGGCGATGTGTTGAACTTATGGTCATACTCCTTATGAGAGGTATATCAGCAGCATCTACATAGTTCTCCAGCCGCCCAATATCCCATGTCTTTGTTTCTTAATTGATTAGATCACTCACTCTCATGTTCGGATGCAAAACCGGTGCTGATGAGGACGCTGATCTTGCTGGTATAGTAGGAATCCAAGGATCCTCCCATACTTTCACCTCATAGCCCAAATGTATCTTCTGTCTAACTCTCAGCAATAGTAAAGCTCGTGATGCCGATATACTATTCCACGCATACGATGGGCTACTGACAGTAAGCTTACGCAATGGCGAGCTCAATCTATAGTATCGACCTCTCAGGACTCGAGCTACCAAAGAATATGGGTATTGTACCAATCTCCATAATTTCTTTGCCAGCAGCGCCAGGTTGACTCATGAATCATTCTGAACCCCGTCCCTCCTTCCTCTCTAGATAAGCATAATTTGTCTCATGTTACCCAATGTATACCTCTTTTGGGAGGGTTCGAACTCCACCAGAACTGTGCGATGGCACTAGCAAGGTTTTCACATATCTCCAACGAAAGTAGGAAACATGACATTACATAAGTTGGGAGGGGTAGCAGTATGACGTAATCATAACTTCGTTGCCATGTTTTGATAGCCACATGTCTGTCCATCCATTTACTTTATTCCTTAGCTTATCCTTGAGAGAAAAAAACATTTTGCATTTTGACCCACTGA